CAAGAGGATGCCACTCTGACAGCTCTTGACTGCCCTAACTTTCAAGAGAGGCTGTGTGGCGATGCAGCAACTCTTGAAAAAGAGTTTTCAAGAGTGGTGTGGCGAGGCCCTTCGAGAGCAGTGGAGCGAGGCCTATAGGCTCTTGGGTTTCTTCGTGTGTTTTTCATCTTTGGGCCTCGCTGCTCTACTCATGACTCGTGAAAAAAATCAAGAGTGCGGCATGAGTTGTCAGATTCCCGAAATGGCCTACAGTCTTCCCCCGAATACAACGTACGGTCATTATAGCTGAATTTCGACTGACCCCAAATTCAGCTATAATGACCGTACGTTATATTCGGGGGAGGACTGTAGAGTTCGGTCGTGGCTGCGCTTACTTGCTCATGAAACAGGGCCTCGCTGCACTACTCTCCAGATGCACAAAAGACAACAAAAATGGCAATGTATCTTTCCATGTTCTAGTGTTGCATTCAGTCTCATTTTGCACATTTGGAGAGTAGTGCAGCGAGGCCCACACTCTTGTCACACTCTTGTGAATCCTGGAGTGCAGTGCAGCCTGGTTTGTCCATCCAGACCCAGGCTCGCTCTAGAAATCCCGCGCCCAATCAAGACACCATCTGACCACCCTTGCAAAAACCGTGGTTGCAGGCAGGCATGCAAGAGCGCTCTAGAAGTCATCGGGCGACGGTGCCCTGACAGCTCGTGAAACACATTTCACGAGGGACAAGGCAAGAGTAGTGCAGCGGCGACAGCTCTTGACGGATGCAAGAGTAACGTCTGACAGCTCTTGACGTGTTTTCGGACGGCCAAATTCACGAGTAAGTGCAGCGATGTGCAGCTCATGAAAAAGCACATTTCATGAGTAGTGCAGCGAGGCCCTTCGTTTGTGGAGTTTGTGACGTCTTTTGTTCATTTCCAGTTAGGCCGTTCTTCGTGTGCTTTTGGTTTTTCGTCGTTTGCCATTCTTCCGTTGTGCTATAAGTGTGGGCCTACCGGTAGCCACACCACAGTAGGAACGAGAAATGAAAGAAAATTCATCTTCCCCAGAAAGTCGAAGGATGCATCCTTCGCAAGTTTTTATAGTAACGGATACATCTTGCCATTCTCTGCGTGAAGATGCACTCTGCTTTTTTGTTTCGACAGTGGTGTGGCCACGCCCTGTATCATAGTACCTGCGTCCCTGGCGCGAGGTTCCCCAAGCAAACTAAGGAAAAGGGGGAAAAGAACCCTGCCCATGCCCATGGGGCTGAGCAGTACAGCCACCATCTCGATAGGGCGCCCAACTTCATTCTTCCACGTAATCAATGGGGCTTGCAACACATTCTTCCAAAACGGAAAAAAGAAATCCCGGGCCATATGGCTGAACGGTGCACCTGCCAAGTCGGACCTGAGCTAGAATTCATATATGGAATAAATACGGCTTCAAACGAAGGAAGTAACTTGGGGCTCGTTCTCTTGCAGGGCTCGTTCTCCTTGATTCTCCTTTTTTTTTGGGGGGGGGGGGGGGGGGGCATGCGCACAGCCTAGCCCACATAGCATCACACACACAGCACATTCCACCCCCCAATTCAAGTAGCATCACCCACTTACCAGACATTGTACCACCTGGGCCACATAGTACCATCCAGCCCAATAAAATAGTACGATGTGGGCTGGCCACATAGTACCATCCAGCCCATATAGATAGTACGATGTGGGCTGGCCACATAGTATCATTCACCGTACATAGATGGGGCCGTCCTGCACCTAGACTGCCCAGCCCACATGTTACCACCCAACCCGCAGAGTATCACCCATGCCACTTAACAGCACACGGCCCACATGCTATGGCCGCAGTGTGCTCTTTCTTTTGTGCTTTACGAGAACAGAGTGACAGAGAGAGGAACACCATAGACCCCTGTCCATGTGCATGTGTGTGTGTGTGTGTGT